GTCTAAGACGCGGAATCCCACAACCTCTCCGTGCTTAAGCCCCTATTACCTAAGAGCAGCTGCACCAATTCTCTCTGATAAACCAAAGGCACTGGCGCCGTCCGCTAGCCAATCAACATCTGAGTTGGTATTTAGATCTGGGAATCAACTGAACCGTTAACAGGCAACAGCTCATACTGCTGGAAGCCCCCTGACTTCAAGTACGAGCACGTAGTAGCTCAGATGGAAAGCTGTGATATCCGCGTTTGGCCTATTTTCCATCATCGTGCCGGAATCTGAGCGACTCAGTCTTTATTGGACTGACAACAGCATGCAGGTAGGTTGAATGGTGCAAAGAAGGACCCTACGCCGGCCGTTCTTACCAGGACGATTATTTGTTACGCGACAACCTTCAGAAGCCTACATGAGTGTTAGACCTGACCTTTAATTATGCAGGGAGCACAGTCAAGGAAAAAGCAGAAAACAACCACGCAGACGGCACCATAGGCAGTGTTCCCCACTTTTTAGATAAACGCCGGTGTTCACAACTGATCACTAGTCTGAACAGAACCAGTCCGAGGAAAAGCAACATTGGTGTCAGTGGTATCGCAGGCGAGAGCCCCTCTCCCTTGAAAGTCAAAAGCCCCATCTAAACTCTGTGACGCATAGTGGGATTCTGGATGCGGATAGTCAAAATATCAAATACCTAGAACTGATGTCGTTGTGAAAACAGAGTTGACGGTCTTCGCCTACGCGTAGTGCTAAGTCACGAAAAATGCACGCCGATGGGGTCTTAGTGTTGAGTTAGTGGGCACCTGGAGTTTTTCCCAAGTCAACGCAAGGCAAAGCTGCTACGATGACGCTGCTTGAATTAAAACGGAGTCAACGATGAGTACAGGGTGAATGCGACGTGGGCCAAAGATGAGTGGCGTCGAATGAAAACTGTAGTTGGAAAAGTACTCATCAAGTCTGATTCAGCTGACCTCATGTTGCGGGCAAACGATGTCAATGACGATGGCCTAACAATGCAGTCAGTGAGGAGCGGACTCCGGACGACCTTGAGTCCGTCCCCACGCAGGCCTAACGGAACGAAAGACCAGAGGTGTGCTCGAGGTTGGATTCTACCTTGACAGCCGGAGCCGGGTTCTAATGAGATGGTATACCGGAAGATTTTGTCTTCAGGTCAGCGCCGCATATTGCCGAACCACGTTAGTCAGTAATTTAAAAATGGCGTACTTGGTGGATTGTGTTACGTACCAGTTTTTAAGTCGCTAAACAGAAGTAGATGAATTTACATAATGAGCTCAAGTTTCATCGAGCGACGACTTCCAGGAGGTGTAGTCTTCGGATTCTGTGAGCCATGCCTCACTTCTATGTAGGATGCTGCTGATGGAAGTCCTGCATAATCGCAACTTCGCATTCCGAATGTGATTGCATTGATTACCGAGACCTCAAGGAAATCGGTCTACCGTGACCACTCCGTTAAACCGAAGTTCAAATTGTAACTGCTGAGAATAAGATTACACGTGAACATAAGACAGTCCAGACGAGGTACAAGGCCTGAATACCGCAGGCAGAAATTTTATCGGTTTGTGCGCAAACGAGCGCGGAATCCGCCTGAACCGTAGGGTTTGATCGGGACCAGCCAAATAGGTAGAAAAATCCAAAGTCATTGGTCACGTTCTTTTGAAACAGAGGACGCCTTTACACTTTATTGGAAAAAAACGCAAAAACCCCACTTCACTTCTTCTGAGCCTCAGCAGCTTCGGCCTCTTTAATTAACTCATCTACTCGACTTTGTGAAATAAGTTTCACGTAGGTTTTGTCGTCCTTCCTCTGAAGAATTCCGATCTCCACCTGAGGGCAAAAACAAGAGGAAGGATTAGAAAAAACTTTTTTCGTCGCACGTCCGAAATTGAGTTCGTCTTTGAAGAGAAGGCAGTAAGTCCTCCTTTCTGATTTCTCGTATTGCATTAATTACGCTGTGAAAAAGAGTCCACAGAACCCTGGATAGTGTCAATCAGTCAGGCATTTAATTAGAGAAAGTGAGCAAGGACGTAGAAGTAGTATACAATTGAGTAACTGTTTGCACGTCATATTTGTCAGTGATTCTGAAGCAGCCCATCGTTCCCCAACCGTAATGATGGTTCAGCTCCATTCTGCTTAACTGCAGGGTCAGCGTCATCGCCAAAGTAGGCGGCTTCTGGGTATGCGCAGCGCAATGAAGATAGCCCTCCCCCCTGTATGTTTTCGAAAAAAAAACATTCCTTATTTATTCAGTTCGACTCATGCCATGGGAAAAGGCAAGACAGTCAATCGTTGAGTGACCTGGAATACTCACGGGGCAGTAATTGGTGCACTTCCTTGCCCAGGTAGAGCAACAGCGATTTTCCTGGGGGTCGTCTGGACGTGGTGCCTAACTATAGTTGGTGACAATTTTACTTAAACGCCCATAATCTAACCCCCGCTTTGTAGTTCTGCTCCCGCCTATCGTAGACGTACTGCAAAAATATGGCGAATTTGCAGTGTAGTAAAGTGAATGATTTGGCCGAAAATTGAGGCGATTTCGTTAGAGAACATTTATGGAATGGCTACATAGAAGCACTGCACTTAGTCATCTAACGGCCATATGAAGGATGACAACCAGTACACACTTCCTCCATAGTGTAGTTAGCAGAGTACTCGAAATTAAAAGTAAGGCGAATGAAGATTCGCCCACATCGTCCAGTAAACTTATCTTGGCTTATAAGTCAGTCGCTCTCAGTCAGCTAGGCACATCCTTAAATCCAATGAATTTGATTGGTTTTAGTTGATCTCTTCTTCATAGAATGCGGCTAAAAGCTTCATTAAACTGACTACGTGAAGCTAGAAGGTGAGTAACGCACCTATGAATGCCAGTAGTACTGAAGTTCCCCGAGCATTTTGTTGATCCAGTGTTTCTCAACACGTCTTGGCAAAAACAGAATCCCCTTCATGGCTTTGGACATTTGAACGGTAACAGCGACAATCTGCACATACGCTGCCACTCCTTTCCCCTAAGCAGAGAAGCTAAATTCTGGCCTAGGCTGTACAGGCCACTTTGACCGAACCGCTGTTCCCTACATTCCTTTTGCATTCCGTAACTGCTGCCCTAGCGAACAGACTAACCAAACCCCACAAAAGTTCAATGTGTACTGAATTCATGAAGCTGATTCCGCAAAGTTTGGTAACACAAGATACACTGGAGAAGCGGTTGCATGCGGTATCAACATTACGCGACTTGTTCCGGTACTGACGAGGGTATTATGAACCTTATACACTCAACATGAAAGACCTGAATTCGTAGTATCGTACGATGGCATCAGTATGGTACAATGCTGCCCGCGGATCGTCACGCGTGGAGAGGTACAATTTGGGACATCATCGAGGCCGGCTAGATCAGGCATGATCGCAGCCGTATAAAGTACAAGTATGCTGCCCGCGAACGACCACGATGGTTGAGCAGGAATCCAAACCAGGACGACGGTTTATGGGGAATAGTATGATAAAATTCGAAAAAGTCGAAGAGGTGAACGCGCTAACCTTATCGGAGGTCAACTTCGACATCGTCATCGTTTTGTGTAGAACTTTCACACTAAGTTTGACTGCGTCTTCCGTAGTAGCCTCTGGGTCATAGTCTGATTCGAGGATGGAGGACGCAGCGGAGGAGCTAGATCCGATACAGGCAGCTTTCCATCCTAGGAAGTTTCCGGATGGATCGCTTTGATAAAGTTGGTACCCATAGTGCTTGTCCCAGCCTATGAAAAGCATCGACACACCAAATGGACGTCTTCCACCATACATTGTGAAACCGTGTTGCAAATTGCAAATATGGCAGACAAGTTGTTCCACCGGCATTGGCTCTTGATAGTTAAGAAGATACCTGTGGTCCGATAGAAATAGATACTAAGCAGTCAGAGAACTAATTTGATTTTTTAGTCGATATAAAAATATCAGTCTGGTCTATCTACGAAGAAATTTTGTTGGGTACATGAAATGAAGAAGCAGTGGCCGAAATAGTTGCAAACAAGGATAGCTCGGTGCACTATAAAAGGTCTTGTTCGAAAAGGAAGCTTGGGAACCTAGTCTCTGAGAGGAAGATAAAAGTCTGACATCCAATTTGGACTATTTATTACGGTGGACGATTGTGCGAATAAAAAAGTGATGTGCTTTAACAACATCTACATCTAAAGACAGAAAACAAGGCTGACTATTCGCTATACCTGTCCGTACAGAAAAATCCTAAAGCTGTGCCGGCATGCTACTTATAACTCGAGTGGTTAGGTCAAATGCTGGGTCTTACCAGCCGAAGACACGGATGAGCAAGGTCAAACGCCCATAGTGCATACTAATAACTTATGTGAGCCTTTGTGGCAAGTTAAAGGAAATTTTCAAACGGTGCAATCGTTGGCTGAGGAGCTTCTACAGCGCCCCCCAAAAGGAACACTGGGCATCAGTGGGAAGAGTTGCAGGGGCACTGCGAAACCTCGTTCGGTATGAATACGCTCGTGGGTCATCATATCCACTTCCGATGTTCGTCACTTGTCACCGTAAAAAACAAGGGAGTCGTGAGTCCAAATAGCATGTGCTTTGGTAAGCCTTAAACGCGTCCTTCACCTGCATTCCGCAAACAATACATTAAATTAATCGCGCGTTTCAGTAACGAGCTATTTTGCTTTGATGACTAACTCAGTGCCCCAACCCCTTCTTTAGATGTGTTATAGCTTTCCGTACATCCGAACATCATCGCAATGGAAAAGTTGGCACAGTTCCGGAACTTAGTCGACCCTCAAATTAGACGATGTCCAACAAGGGAAACACAGACATGATCCTCCACGAAAACCAACTGACGGATCGACCCGTCAAAAATTTGTCAAAGTACCTTTGAGCAATCAGGCGCATCTCGTTTATCAATACGGTGGCATCGGCAGTGATCCCAGCCACGGCGCAAGCAATATCATCGTTGATTTTATAAATTTTCTCAGAGAAAGCCGTCTCATCAAGAAGTTTATTGATGAATCGCTTTTCCGCAGCAAGCACGATCCCATCTTTCGCAACAATGCCTAAGCATGTGCCCGCGTGCCCAACGGCTTCCATTGCGTATTCCACCTGATAGAGGCGACCTTTTGCAAATATTAACTAACTTCAGAATAATTTACCCTCTGGAGAAAATATAGTCGTTCGTGTGTCGTACCGGCGTGCCTAAAACAATGGTTTAAGTTTTGAACATAATTATTTCCAACTTTGAGTTGGACACAAGATTGCTCACCATCTCTCAGCAATATATTAAATTAATCGCCTTTAAAGTAGGTCACTTTAAACGACTACTTAGGGCTAAGATAAAAGCACGCACAATGTTTTTCGGGATCTTAAAGTTACAGCGCGAATAAAGTATTTTTCCGATAGATCAAGGACTCCGAATTATTAAACTGTCTTTCAGTAAGAGCGTGGGCCGAGACAAATCATGCTGAGTGCTGTATTCTGCGATAAGAGGTTGGAAAAGAAGCAGCTATTAGAGCGATTAACAGTGAGAACATGAATGATATAAACTAGCAAACAGTTGAACCGCTAGATAAGACACAAGACAGAGATTTAATGGGTGTATGCCAGAATGCCAGGTTTTTATTATGTGCTGCAACCTGGGTGATGACTTTTGAGGCCGCCGGACAGATACCGTGCCTCAGAACTTAAAAATCGACCTAGAGACTTCTTCCGAATTTCTCTGCGCAGAACGTTTGTCTTATGCTCGACAAAATGTTCATTGAAGGGCTTTGATTCGACCACTAACCCTAACTTTGAATTTATGGTCATCATATTAATCTGCATCAGATCTTAAGGGTTCCAACATATCGAACTCCCAGACTCCCAATCTTTCTTTGTTGCTAAAAAGTTCGTGGAGTGATCCGACCTGATATCTGGAACTCGAAAACTAGTGAATACTGGACACGACTCTGTATGTTATACGCTAGACCCTTATTTAGTCTCCTGTTTATTGGCGATCGGAGCAAATTTAGTTCACCAGGAATATTTTTGCCAAAAGGATCGCACCCCGGGACGTTGTATTTTGACCCATCAAGAATGATGTTGCATCACAGACCTTGAATATTTGTGACATCATCTGTTCGAGAAGGAATTATTTACTGTACGTCACATAACTCAGCCCCGCCAATGAGGGGGACATGCGCTAGCAGGATTGATAGCAGAATCTGATATGAGAGTTTTTGACGCCTTAAACGTCACGCATTTTGCTGACTTATCAACCCCCTCCAGGAAGTTGCCGTTTTCTTGTGCCGAAAATGTGTCAACACAATTTTACCGATCAAAGTCTTCGTGAATTTGAATAAAAATGGGTGCTGCGGTATATTCGGGCAATTTCCTATGCTAATACCCGATCAACAATTCGATGGTATCTCTGATGGTGCTTTTTGAGAGGAAAATGACTTCCCCCGAGAGCTCTGTTAAAAAGAACCCGTCATATTCGAAAATTGATCTTTGTCTGATAGAAACGTTTGGAATCAGTTTGCCGACACAGGTTATTTTTCGCGAATCAAAAGTGATAGATTTTTTAAAGTCATATTAGCAAATTTGTACGATTCCGCGACATAACGTACATAGGCAGGATATTTTGATGTGAACTTCAATGAAAGACTATCGTCAAACACCATTCTATTTGCGCGATCATAGTTTTCAGTTCTTTGCATGGGCTGTCTTTCAGTACTTCGAAAACTGAAGTTTACCAAATACCAACCTTTTTGACACCCTCGAAATTTTCCACTTTTCCAGAAAAATTGTAATTTCCAAACACCGTAGTACTACCTTTAGCATTTCTTTTATTCATTGGTGTCATTTTTGATTGATTAGCAAGCATTTGTAAATTTTGGTACCTTTATCTGTTAGGTCACGCATTGTGCTTACTTACAAACCAGACCGCCATGCTTGATTCTGACCGATTACTTTGTAACATCTCAAAAACCCTGTACACAGAAGTCCGTCTTCTTCAGTTGTTGAGTTTGCGGAATTTTTGTTTTCTTTCCTCGCCTTGTTTCCGTGACGTTGTAAACTCGGCTGCTTTTCATTTAGTCCGTGAAACCTTCGGTCGGCGGTGAGCTGTCATTTTGCCTGTCCACCATCTTGTCCGATTCAGGACCCCAGTTCTATGAAAAGGAGTGCACTATGCAACGTCCCACTAAACTCGCGGACACCGTATCTGTCCACCTGTCATAGGCAACTTCAGGTAACAGTCTATTTTCCTAATGCCACACCCCCTTCTAATCGAAACTCAGCTTAAATGACACTTTTGTGAAGGACAATTTTTCTCACTTCTCATGAAGCCATGTTCTATATTTATACTGATAATGTTTGTCAACTGACATTTATTATTATTCCTATAGTGATAAACAGTGTATCTGAAGTCAGCTGCGCCGATGGTGCTGAGAAGTTTGGGTAAATACGGGAAAGATCTCTTAGCTGACTAAACACGTTTAGATTTTAGTTTGTTCAAATTGTGTGCCTGTCAATGTAGAAGACGTGTCTCAGCCACAACAATTGTTGGGACAAGTTCCAAACAGTAGGAGTCGAGGGTAGGGGGTTACTAATTCTTTACAGAATTTTGGGCCGCGATCTCTAGTAGCGGTGGCTTCTGATGAGGCTTGAGTTTATGATGACGATGTCAAGTGAGGTTTTAGAGCGTGTGTTTATGGTGTCGGCTTCTTTTATTTGTGTGTCTGCGCTAGGTAAAGATTAATTCTGTGCAACTGACGTTTTTCGCATTCCCGAGGTGTGGTGTGTTCAAGTCGAATGTTTGCATTAGGGTCCCATAGATGTCATGGATGCAAACCCACGCCGCAACACTAGGGTCAAGTAGGGTCTATCGATGCGACTAAATAACCGTTGTGTCACAAAGTATTGACCCACAGTGGAGTTTGATATTCACCTGAGATGGCTGATCAGACCTGAGTAAGGAATCTTTGCGTGTCCCTTCGAGGACAGACAAGACAACCAAATATGTATTTAAGACACTGACAACTACACCGTCGGCCAACCAATCCCGGCTTATGAACGCAAAAACATGGTCGAAAAACTTCATTGGATAACAATCAATCCCTTTCTTCACCGCAGTCTGCCGTAGTGATCAGGTGCGAAGTAAAGGCGCATCACGAGCAACAGCGCGGTCTCCGAGGTATTTGTTGTGATAAAGAGGGTCAGGTAGAGTTATGTGCACGCTCCCGTCATCTTCAGTCTCATGTGTTAAGCCATGCTGAGGGGTTTTGAACGTAAAGAGCCGCAGGGGTAAATATAATCAATCAACTACTAAAAATCCGGCGCATGCAGGCATCTTGGAGAGCTGCAGAGATCAGTGTTCATGATACCCTGTTCGTGAATGATTGTGTAATGGAAACCGACATGCAGCGGAGCGCGTATTTTCCTCCTTACAGTTACATATACTTTAAGATGGCAGTTAGCTTTAAGAATGCATAGCTACCATATCACTTGGCACTAACTGTTGACTTTAGTGAGACCATAGCACGTATTAGGGCGTCTTGTCTCCTCACAGCGGATAAATGCGCGTGCCTATGAGGTACCGTACCACGGGGTGTCAGGATCAAGGACGGGATTGACAATCGACTCCCCAAGGCCGCCCAAACCTGTGATGGATTGCAACAATCCGTCCCGATTCACTGCGGAATTATTTTCAACATGAGACAGAGTGTCTGCACAGCTATCATCCGGGATAGCCTCTTATGTGGGACAGAAACGTGAACTCTGCATAAGATAATGCCTACTTAGTCTTTGACGAATATTCCTCCTGCAGTGGAAGGAAACCACCCAAGCAACCAAATTAGTGGAAAGGAGGAGGTTTGCTGAATCGGGTCAAACTGCTGTTGGGACTTCAAGGGTGAAGGATGGACGATGAGCGACTGCCCAAACGCTAAGTTTAAACAACGCGCTATGGGTATTCGTAGACAAGTACACAAGTGGCAGAATAAAGCCCAGCGTCTGAAAGACAAAGAGACTCCCGATACTAACGCCGCCGTGGAGATACCGTTGTGCCAGCTGCGGAAAACAACCCACCTCGCCGTCCTGGATGTTCTAGACTGCGCACGTCGTCAGCACCAAGATTGGTTTAACATCAATGGTGTAGAAATCAATAACCTATTCGCAGAGGAGAATGGGTTGCACAAAAGTCTACATTGACTGCCGTACCGACAAAAACAAATCAGTCTGCTTTGGATGTCACCGTCCGGTGCAACAACGACTGTGGGAATTGAAAGATGCATGGATGGATCGTAAGATGAAGGAAATACACGGATACGCAGACTGCAATGGGACGAAAAAATTTTTGCTTCCATTAAGGACGCCTGCGGCCCCACACCAAAGGAATCACATTGCTTCTCAGCTCCGGCGAAAACAATACCAACTGAGAAATCACAAATTCGGAACCGTCCTCAACCGCCCATCTACGATCTCTGACGCCGTCATCAACCGGTCTCCGCAGGTGGAAACTACTAATACCCTGAACTTACAACAATATTCTAGGAGATGCGGTGCCAAGGACAAGTTCACCAGGGTTTGGCTTACTTCGTACATATTGAGCATTATCAGTTAGCTTCAAATACAGACAAACCTCAAATAGTCTCCTTCATCTCATTTGCGTCTTACATTTGGAAGAAGTTAAATTTTGGAGAAATACAGGGTGTGCAAAGTGTGAATTTGTTTTGAGCGGAAAAGCTGTTCAACAATGTTAGCAAAACAATAACGAAAAGTTGCGTATCGATACAGCGCTTCATTAGTCAACGTCGCGTTGCATGTGCGGGGATGGTGAATAGTAAAGTTCATGAACAATAAATATGAAGACATAAACTGATAGAATCGCATCCTGAAGGACAGAATGGAACACACAATTGGATTGAACTGTGCCTGGATTCGAAGTCGACGTTATCATAATTTGGGTCAAGGGTTGTTTTTTGGTGGTTTGTGGTTGAATGAAGTATTCCTATGAAGTGTCGGTACGTGGAGTAATACCAAGAGAAATTAGGAAACAAAATAGCTGTGTAATGGACGCTGCCGACGAGGCTAAACAGCAGATCCCCCATAATAAGCATCGACGTAAAATCTGAATAACCCCGTTCGTTCGCTTTCTTCCAGACGTTGGTTGACCCTCTATCATCTTCTTTTGGCCTGGTCAATTAATTATCTTTTCGTGGTTCGTTCCATTTTAAATTTCTTCTCCCCGCCCACTTCTAGTTTTTAGACCCGAAATCATCATCAGTG